AAACAACGGCAGTATTCGGGAAGTCTTTTATTGTATGCTATCTTAATAAGCACACTGACAAAGATTTTTTAAAGCACGGAACCGAATTGTTTGTAGTGTTGTTAGAGGAAGGAGCTTTTCCGTTTACTTTTTGTGAATTGTGAGTATTTCAATTTGGTGACAAATAATAAATATGATTGACAGTAGTAATAGTGGACCATGCATAAAAAAACGTTACAATTTAAAAATGTAATTGATGGATTCGACCGTTACTTAATAAAAAATTCATTTTATGAAACAATAAAACACTGAACACTTTGTTTTCAAAACCTCCTGAAAAAAATGTATATAATCTTATCACTACAGCAGTTTCGGCTGATTTGCCTTTCTAAAGTTATCTATTTTTGGCATGCGTTTACACTTTATAGTCTTCATTGAAATAGGTTAAGGAGGGAAATAACTGTTTGTCTCAAGTTGGCCATTCAGAATTATATCTGTGTTTTTAATTTGTTAATTTCCATAGATTCCAACAAAGCTAGCTTAATGCCTTTATTTTTTGAATGTGAAGAATTTTAAATTCGTCATTAAAAGAATGATTATGATCTAGAAGGTGAAGTGTGTATTTAGAATATGTTTTTCTATTATTAAAAACCCTTTTATATTTTGCTATCCGTTTATTAAAATTTCTACCAGTCTGACCGATGTAAGTTTTTGGGCTGTCGCCACATTTGTATACATCTGGCTTTTGTTATTTCTAATATATTTTCCCTAAGTTGTTATTTGTTCTGAAGGCTGGTGTTATTTCTTTCTTTTTTATGTGTTTGGTTATTTTTCTCCATATTTTTCTTGCATATGTAATCGAGCAGAAGGTACTGGGTTTTTTCTCTGGTGGTGAAAGACTAATTTCAGGGCTTCCTTGTGCAGTTTAAAATTTTATAAATTGTTTGTTCGTTGTATCCATTGTTTACTGCTATTCGCTTAATGATATGTAGTTCTGTCTTAAAACAACATTAATTAACAATAAACAATTAATCAAATTTTAAATTAAAACTACACAAAAAAGCCCTAAAATTAGTATTTCCACCACCAGAGAAAAAACCCAGTGCCTTTTGCTCGATTATATAGACAGACAAAATATCAACAAAAATAGCCAAACACATAAAAAGAAAGGAATAACACCAGCTTTCAGAACAAATAACAACTTAGGGAAAATATATTAGAAATAACAAGAGCCAGATGTATACAAATGTGGCGACTGCCCAAAAACTTACATCGGTGACACTGGTAGAAATTTTAATAAACGAATATCAGAACATAATAGGGCTTTCAATAATAGAAAAACAGATTCTACATATGGACTACACCTTTTAGATCATATTCATTCTTTCATTGACGAAATTAAAATTTTCTACATTCAAAATAAAGGCCTTAAGCTATATTCGTTAGAATCTATGGATATTAACAAATTAAAAAACATAGCTATAATTCTAAATAACCAGCTTGAGACAAACAGTTCTTCCCTCCTCAATCTATTTCATTAAAGACTATAAAGTGTAAACGCATGCCAAAAAATAGATAGTGATACAATTATATAATAAATTTTTGTGGAAGTTTTACAAACAAAGTTTTTAGTGTTTTATTGTTACTAAGAGATGTAGTTACTTTATCTGATATTTTGACAACAGTTTCCAAAGTTAGTGTATACAGACTAGTTATAACATACGATGAAACAATCAATAATAATACTGTTACGATTTTAAATGATATGGCATATAGAACTGTAAATATTTTATGACTAATTCTTTTTTATTGATTCTCGTAATTTGTAGGTCAAAATCTACCTGAGCTTCGATACCAGTTGTTTACAGAATAATCAATCTAGACCCTAATTTTAGTGAGTCATCCACGACTCGAAGTTGAAAAAGAACTAGTCTCAGCGGTTAATTGCCTTCACCGAAAAAACCAGTATATTCCATGGGGTTCTTTGCAAAAGTAGGTCACCGAACTTTCCAGATAGCGGAAGTTTCTTTATATATAAAGACGAAATTTTATTGAAGAACTTAGTCATAAGAAGATCGGGAAACGCGGTTTACTTGTAACGAAACGTAACAAATAAATTTGTAAAGTTATTTAATAAATTAGTAATTAGCTATCGTGAGTTTTAATAAATTAGATTATAGACAATAAATTACAATAAAGACAAATAAATTAGAACTATATAAATATACCACAATACTTTGAAGGTTCAGACTGTAGCGTTTTATATTTTAGATTTCTGTAATTCACTCTTGGTTGTTTTTACCAAGAAAACGATCGTTAATATAGAAAGTTTTTGTAAAAATATTTCGAAGAAGTTAAATATATGTTTTTTTTTGACGAGATTTTTAAATGCGTAATAACGCTGGAAATATTTTTTTTTATCTCTGTTACAAAGTCAGGTAGAACTTATTCCGGTTAGAGTAATCAATAATACGTATTATTCCTTCATTTTTAAAAGTAGTTTATTTAAAAGTCGCTTTGTAAAATAGTTGAGGCCTGTTTTAAAAACAAGAAATTAGGGTCGCCCACACCGATATTAGATTTAGGTCAGAAGGGGAATGTTGTTTGTTTAGGTTTTGAGACGTAAAGGGGAAATTAATTTGGCGTCGAATTTGTAAAATTTAACGCGGATAAGGAGTCCAAGATTTGATTTGATACGGTGCAGACGTTTTACAATGTAGAATCTAAGAACAGATTTGAAACTGGGCAGACGTGTTACAATGTAGGGTCTAAGAAAGATTTGAAACGGTGCAAACGTTTACGATGTATAGTGAAGCGACAGATTTAAAATGTAAAATGTGGGGCAATTCATAATTCAAAGAGTCGATTCAATTTTTTTTTGTGATGTCTTAAGCCAGTTAAAATGATAATACTCTTTGCTTTGCCTAAGCAGCTTTGTCAGAGTAGTCATTAGAAGATTGGAATAGAAACTGTCAATTTTTGAAAAGTATGATATAGAATGTCCCTGTAGTCAGCTTGATTCTTCCACCAAGTTTCTGTTTCAATCGTTCCTGCCTGAGTATATAAATGGTTCTTTGTTCCTGTTAGAGAATATGTCCAGAGGTGTAGCAAGTTTTTGCTTTACAAAGTTAAGTGATTTTGTGAATTAAGGTAACAATTTAATATATTAATTTTCCCAAGTTATAAAGACATTTTTAATAATTTTCTTTCATTAAAATAAAATAATTTGTAATAATTAAAGTTTTATATTTTTTTTGTCGTAGCTAAAAAATGTCATATTTTATTCTGATTTAAAATGTTATGTTGGCATATGACATTTGCTGTAATCCATTGTTTTTGTAAAACAATTTCCATTTGATTATTATATATAAAAGATATTTCATATATAAAGTTAAATTCAATAATATTTTTTATAAAAAAGGTATCCATAAAATTTTGATAATCTAAATTGGCCATATATAACCTAGGAACCATTTTAAAATTTTTGTAGCAATCTTTTATGTAAACGAAGAACATGTAAGTTTTTGTTATTTTGTATAATGTTATATGATATGTTTCTTTTATAATCTGAATTTTTGATAACTGTTTGTTTGAGACAAAAATCAACCTTTAATTTGTTTCTCTGATCCATTTTGAGTTTTATTTGAAAAACATATGTTTCTGATGTTTTATAATTATTTCCCTAGTTACAACTTGAGGTGTTTCCTGTTTATTTTTATTTTGTTTATCCCAAGAGATTAAGTACCCCTTTATTTCCTTTTTTTGTAGTTGCCCCAATCCAACCCCCTTATCTTTTAACTTATCCACGACCCAGCTCTCCAACAACCAACTGAGTGCCGTACGCACTTGTTTCGATTTATTTTGTTTGCCCAATCTTCTACCCCATGTACTTACCCTGAGGTAAGCAAAATAGTGGTTACAAGACAAGAGGAAGGAAACAAATAAAATTGGATGATACAACCAAACAGCCCATTCGTCGTGCAGTACATGAATTGTATTCCAAAAAAGAACTAGCAACTAAAAAATAATTGCTTCTTTTCTTCCATCTGATAAAAATATTCCAAAACCATGAAGACGTGTTTTGTTACGTACTTAGATTAAAGACTATTTAAGGAGAAAGAGGAATTAAAAATTGTATTAAACAGAAGAGGTCATTTTATGGCGCAGAAAATATCTGAAACAAATAGTCGAATTTTCAAGAGATAAAAAACACATATTATATAGATAAAACATGGTTTAATGAAGGACATACTGTGACAAAAATTTGGCAGGATTTAAATGTTTAAAAAAAAAACGACATGATTTTCAAGATGGTTTGTCAGCAGGATTGTCAGCTAAAAAGACTGAAGATTGCCATGAGGAAATGGATGCAGATCATAATGAAAAATGGTTTTTAGATCATCATCATCATCATCATCATCCAGCCTCTATTTATCACGTCCACTGCTGGACATAGGCCTCCCTTAAACTCCTCCATTCCTCACGATTGTGTGCTCTTTGTTGCCAATTTTTAGTGATACGCCTGATGTCGTCGGCCCAACGTGTAGGTGGTCTTCCTCTACTGCGTTTGTCTGCGTACTGCGTAAAAAATTACAAATTGGAGGCCAAGAGCAGAGAAACGCAGTAGTGGTTTTTAGATATTCTGTTAAAAATAAAACCAGGATCTGTTATTATTATGGATAATGCTCCATATCACTGCCAAGATGTAAAACAGTTATTACCCCTAAATAAAGAAAAACCGAGATTGAGGATTGGCTTACTAAAAAAATATATTATATCTGATAAACCAATTTTAAAAAACGAGTTACTAAACTTAGCCGGTGTCAAAAACTGGTTTTTCAAGTTAACCAACCTCAGCTAAACGGAAAACTAGAAAGTTTTGCCTTACCTAGAACACTAAAGTTAAGTATATGCGAGATACTGTGTATAGATGAACCTCAAGGGCGTCCAGAAGTAAAAATGGAAAAATTAGAAAAAAGTAAGAACTGTTCTTACTGTCACTAAAAACCAATTTGCTTGGAATGTGTGAAAAAGATATATTTATAGTGCGCTACACTCTACTAACTTTAGTGACTGTAAGTTTTTTTTTGTGTTAACATTTTTTAAAGATTTTACTATTTTAATGTTTCGTACTCTTTGCTTAACCCGATTATAAATTTTTATCAATATTCTTTAATTTGTTTAACTTTATCCCACTTTTTTTTAGGCATAAAAATGTACACAAAAATCGATCAATTTTTCCTTTACTGTCTTCTATTTTAATAAACACAATAAACTAAATTAATTACTGTGTTTTTAGATAACTAATTTCAGCAAGTCATCGCATTTTTTTGCATTAAAATATTTAACAATAAAATATCCCCTAAAATGTTAAACCCATCTGTCGGGCGGTTAGTTAGTGTTTACGCCATTGATTTAAGATGTTAGTACTAAGGGTTAATTATTAAAAATGGGAAAGTGTATTTATTATATTTTGATGGTTTAGACTTTTTGGCGAATGTTTAAAATTTTGGTGAATGCGCTAATTTCAACCACCAATTTTAAAATTTTGTTACAATTAAGAGTCGCGAGATCAAATAATAGTCAATCAAGTCACGGTTGATATTTATGACAAGCAAGTTCATTCAATTTCAATTCTAAGCTTCTCTTGGTTAGATGCCTTATTATTGATTCGAATATTTAAGGCACTACTAATGATTATTAATTACTATTTAACTGGGAATAAGCCACAATTAAAGATAAAAATACGTTTATTGATGTTTCAATTTCCACTTCGGAAATCGTTCTCAAAATAAAAACAGTAAATTAAACAAATTTTGTTTTTTGTTACATAGTGAAAAATTCTTCTAATAATTTAATTTTATCTGACTCATTTATATTGACAATTCAAAACATACATTATGCATTTTAAAGTAGACGACTTTAAAATGATATTGCCAATATTGTTGAGTGGTGCTCCTGGGACGACTTTACTTATAAGATAGTTCATTCGATTACATGAAATCAACTTTAACTTGAGAATATAAATCAGAAAAAAAATCATAGCATTTAATTCGTCTTTAAAAAGACAAACACATGACATGATGACAGTAAAATTCTCGTGTTAGTGATTCCATAGTAAATTATGAGGGAAAAACCGGGAAAAAAACCTCATAATACTATCCCGACATGGTAAGTATTTGTTCGTGCATTTAGTTTACCTTCAATAAACACCAAAATTCTGATTTTATATGTTTCGTTATTTCAAAACCTTAAATGATGTATCCTCTATATGTTACTTACTTACTAATACTGGTATTTTCTTATTTATTACTTCCTCTTTCAATATTGGTAACCAGATTCTACTACATTTTGCCGAGGAATTTGCGACACAATTGGCCTCATTTAGCATAATTAGAGCCGCTTCTTTTTTATTTTATCTTTTTTTACCATTCGTTTCTTTTAGGACTACATTTAAATTATTCCATTGAACCCTATGTTCATTATCTAATGCGTGTTTACATATTTGAGATCTATCAAATTCTCTATTTTTAATAAAAGAACATATTTATTTACATATTTCACTCACTTCGTTCGGCGCGTAATATCGGGCGCGTCAAGAAAAGTCATGCTTCTCCGCCTCATAAAGTAATATACTATAATTTACTGCTATATTATATTTTTACTTTACCTTAAATAATAATTCTTGCACTCTTTGAGTGTACGTTCTACTCTTTTTACAGGTTTTTTATAATAAATGGTATATTTTAATGTGTAGCAAATACATATAAATGATAAAACAACTATTTAGTATTATAATTTAACAATTTTTTTGTTGAGCCATGTCGTATTTACTTTTTTAAATTCATAGTATTTTCCTTTGTTTAACTTTTACGCAATAAAACACTGCAAATGCGGTAGTTCTCATTAACTTGAAAACTTTTTGTTTCAATCTTAATGTCAGTTTGAGCATTATCTTGACAGTGATGATGAGAAGTGCGAAATGTGTTCTAACACTTCATATAGAGCCAGTGGGATGCTGCGTGTCGAGAGTAAAAAGCCCGAGCCACTATTTACGAGTTAATAGCAGATTTCGTACAAAAAGCTAGTTGGTGACGTGATACATAAACGAGAACGTGCCTTTTCTACAGCTAGACTGTTTTTTGCAAAATACTACAGCGACAGTAGTATGGAAGATTCATGTAGAAATTACAAAAATATTCGGTATATTTAGATTAAGTAGTCACTATTGATTTACTTAATATATATTTTTTTATCTTTATAGACAGGGAGTTCGAAATCTTCAAAAGACATCTCAGTCCAGGACGCAGGACTTACCTTAGTGCAGGATTCATTCTTCGTACTCACGGCGGCAGTTTTCAAATATTTTAAAAGGCTCTCTTGTCACCGAGTCTACATCCAACGTCTGTCTGCTAAAACATAACCCCCTATATCATCCAGCGATCATCCGGAAGCGGAATGGCCGCTGTAAGGCCGGCACCTTAATTCATCTACAGACTGTCAGCAAGGGCTTCCTGTCTTATTCCAGGTAGCGCGTGGAAGACCCTCAACGCTTCTAGTACGGTATTACTTCCAGACGGGCATTTCCTCCTTTCCCACACAGTCTAACTCACACAGTCTAACTCACACAGTCTAACTCACACAGTTTAACTTATACAGTCTGACTCACTTTTCTACCTTTAACTACCAGCATCTTTTCCTCTTACCTTTGCCATTGGTCCAACCAAATGTCTTTCTTCTTCTTTTTTTCTTGATCACTGCTCGGATATAGTTGTGTACATTAGTCCAATCTGCTTTATTCTCAATCGTTTTCTTAATCATTTCTCTCACTGTAACAAAATTCACACCTGTCTCTCTTTCCATTCTGTTTTTGTTACTATCCATCTGTTGCAATCTAACATTGTATTGACAAAGTGTCCGAGTGTTCACAGTATAGGGATTTATCAGTGTCAGCCGTAAAAAGGCTGGCTCTAAAACACCCGTGACAAAATCTGCGTGACAAAATAATCTAGTCGCCCATGGCCACAGTCCACCCAATCTCTTACTTTCGGGGTCAGCCTCTTTGCCTACCGTGCCACATTCCCCGTGTTGTTTCATTCTTCTTGTCATTTTTCAATTAACCTTTCCCTTTCCTCTCTTCTCTCGGCCAGAGTAAGGTTTAGGTCTCTTCTCCCATAGAGCCATTTTCTTTCCACCGCCAATACATGCAACGGAATACATCCAGTGATAATCCACAAGGCTACTGTAGACACAGTTCTGTAGGCGCATGCCACTCACAATAGACTTGTTCTGCCCATTCGTGGCATGAGCCTCCGAATGGTGTCATTAACCTTCCCAACGCAGCCGCACTATTCGCAGCTTCCTAGGCCACTTCCCGCAAGTGCTCTCCTTATTTTCCATTCTGGTGCAATGTCACTTCTAGGTACTTTAAGTGTTTCTTAGATGTTAGACATACCCCCGCACATTGTAATTCCATACTTTGCCTGTTTATTTTCCCTTTCAGAATGATTTTTTTTTGTTGGCATAGGCGTTTGCCATTCAGCCAGTCACAACTTTTTAAAGTTCTTCCCAAAGGAAAGAAAAGAAAATAATTATCATAATATATTTATTATTGGTTATTTGGTTATCAATAGAACAAACATGGTCACTCGCTTCTCGTCTAAGGACCCATCAAGACATTAAATAAAAACACAAACTAGACCGGGTCACGGATAGTAGGTTTAAAACAAATGGGATAAAACAAAGGTTACTATTTTTTTTTAACTGGACTTACAAACTGAGGTTACTTTTCGAAATAAATTCTGTTAGGTAGTTATATACAATTTTGTTATTTAATGACAAAAGGTAACAAATGTTATAGGGTGGAAGGATTTTATGTTTGATTAAATTTTTTATTAAGCTGTCAGTTTGTTGTATATATTTTGAACATTCAAAGAAAATGTGATTTAAATATGCTTCTTTTTGACAAACTTCGCATAAATTAGAATTTACAATTTTAAATTTTGCCAGATGAGCCGGATAACATGCATGTCCTGATTTCATTCTAATAATAGATGTAATGTATCTACGTGGAACAGAGTAATTTTTAAACCAAAATTCACTCGGGATTGAGGGTTGTATAAGTGCATATTGTGAATTAGAGTGTTGACTATATTCATAATATTCTTGTTTCCACTGATTGTGTACAATATTCTTGATTGTTACAATTACATCTGGTATGCAGAGCTTATAATCTGTTTGCGCATCAGAATCAATGGCTTTCTTAGCTAATATATCTACATACTCATTATGCTCAAACCCTATGTGAGCTTTAATCCACAAAAATCTGACTGTTCTTTGTTCCTGATGTAATTCAAAAATACTTTTTTTGATTAGTAGGATGTAAATATTTGTGCTTTTGCTAGGAAAAGATATAGTCTCAATGGCTATAAGAACCGATAACGAATCAGATGCAATTATTGCGGAGTTGTCATTGGAATTCTTAAAATACTTTAATGCTTCATAAATTGCTATGGCTTCAGCAGTAAAAACTGAAAAATTATGATCTAGAGTGAACATGTTTTCTATACTTTTTAAAGGAATATAAAAAGCGCATCCAGTGCCAAGAGAAGACTTTGATGCATCTGTATAAATTACTGTTGATGCTGGCCAGTTTTCTAATAAATTCCTTAAAATATTGTAGCTGATTGCGGTATTTACATGGTACCTTGGTTTAATTACCGTAATAGTTTGCAAAAAAGCATAAAATTCTTCAAAGTTTGTATTATCGTATGTGTATAAGTTGGTGTAATCGCAATTTGAGAGATTTCTAAAAGAGTCACAAAGTGGAGGAGAATTTTTGTGGATCCAATATGTATTTGTTAAATCTGCATTATTAAGTTTGCTAATACTGCTGTAAAGAGAGAGGTTTCTATGACGAGTATTAATCAGAAATTTTTGACTAAGATATTCTCTTCTATATTTGAGTGGAAATTCTAGTGCTTCAACATATAACGAATTGGTAGGGGTTGATTTCATAGTACCTAGGCAAATACGTAATATTGTGTTTTGAAACACGTCTATTTTTCCCAAGATA